CATCACTAATTTGCGCATGGCGCATGGCGCACGCGCACCGCACGGCGCACCACAGAAGTGTGCCACAAGTATGTTTTTTTTTCTTCTTTTTCTTGTAGTTTTTAAATTTGCTAAGAGCCAGTTCGGGGAACTGAGAAAAATCAGAAAGCAAGTAGAAGGTGGAAGATGCTCTTTTGGAGTCTTATTGGGCTCTGTTTTTTTTTTTTTTTTTTTTTTTGTGGGGGGGCGGGGGAGATGTCCGGGGTTGGGGGTTGTGGGGTGTGGATTCGCTAGTTGCGTCACATGTAAGCATAAACGGAGATAAAAAAGTAATTCATCAATGATTTTTGTTGTATTATTTCTAGATAGTACCTATTGCCGCTGTGCGGGCTCGAACCGGAATGGACGAGCCGCAGGTACCTCATACCTGTATGTTTACCAAATTTCATCACAGCAGCCTTGATAATCAAGATCACAATAAGTGTTTTTGTTTTTTTAAATGAAATTATGAGGGTCAACAACATGGTAACCGTCCGGACGTCCGGACCGGGTTCCAGACAGTCCGGTGTCCACTGTCCGGTGTCTGGCCCTGATGTCCGGATGGAGGCCCCTGGGGAGAAAAAAAAACAAAAAAAGGGGGCGGCCCAGGACGTTTATCGGGTCCTGGCTGCCCCTCGAAAAATAATGGGGTGATTTTTCGGTGTCATTTCACCCCACCGGACAGGGCCTAGAGGTCCGGACACAAGACACTGCAGGTTTCTTGGGTGGCAGGTTTCACACAGGCCCAATCAATTTCAAGGCGCCCGCCGCTGCTGCCCGCTGGGGAGAGAGAGAGAGAGAGAGAGAGAGAGAGAGAGCACTGACAGTGCTGCCAGTCTGAAGACTCTGACGTTCTGAATTGAACGGCAAAGTTCGAACTTTTAAGTTGTGTATGAACTTACTATGAAGTTATGAACTTAAATTACTAAATCCAAAGTTCAAAGTTCAAAGTTGATCATACTTTTTTCAAAAAAAAAATTATCTGTTTCTTTAGTCTTGTGTCTGCTTTGCACTGTTTGCAACTCTGCATGTCTGCTAGTTAAATGTGGTGGTTGATTTGCTGCAAGACACGTGCTCTGCTGCCTGAACTACAGAGTGCAGAGCAGGTAAGTGCCTGCCAACAGCCCTGCCCACCCCCAAACCCCCGTTTTTTTTTTTTTTTTTTGGTCTGGACATTTCTGCAACCCTGGATCACCGGACAGTCCAGACCGGTCCAGACACTGGTCCGGAAGACAGTCCGGAAGTGTCTGGTGTCCGGGTCTGGGGTTACCATGGTCAACAAGGACGGGGTTGCGTGTTGTGGGTTTCATGTTGTAAGGCTACTTTGTAAAAATGATTGAGAAAAGAAAACTGGACTCGGCAATACGGATTGTTTGTAAGAAATCATGCATCAAATTTGACGGAGACTAATCAGTAGCACATGCTGCCAGTAGGGGGGGCTGACATTGGCTGATGTTGTGCTGGTGGCAAGCAGCAGCAAATGCAGAGGGAGTGGGACCTGACGGCGGCATCGGGACCAACGACTTCACCTCGAAGCTTCTGCATTTGGCGTGGCACCCTTCGGCAAATTTGGTGGCCTGTGCTGCATCGAATAGTCTGTACATGTATTATGCGTAGGGGGGGAGGGGGACTAGGGAAAAGTGTTTCTGAAGGGGAGGAGGAGGTGGGAGGAGGGGAGGAGGTATGGATGGTGAGCATGGATTGGGCTGTCAGGTTGGCAGGAGCGCGGAGATTTGATGGGTGCAGGCCGGGTGCTGGCAGCACTGAAGGTAAGTACATGGACACAGAGAGAGAGAGAGAGAGAGAGAGAGAGAGAGAGAGAGAGAGAGAGAGAGAGAGAGAGAGAGAGAGAG